TTCCTTGGTTGCCTCTACTGCTGCCATGCACTCTGTTTCTGTAGTAGGCAGAGCTACCGTATCTTGAAATGTAGATCTCCAACTAATAGGACCCTAACCAAGAGTGAAAATACATCTCGTAGTAGACTTTCTTTTTGTTAAGGTCACCCTCAAAATCTGAATCTACATACCCAACCACTTTGTTTCCTTTCAAACCATTCTAAAATAGTAAACATGTATCTTGGGTACCATTCAAGTAGCTCAGAATCCACTTTACAGCATTCCAATGCTCCTTCCCCAGATTAGCCATAAATCTGCTCACAAGACTAACTGCTTGAGATAAGTTCGATTTGGTGCATACCATAGCATACATAAGACATCCAACTTTACTGGCATATGGTATATGTATCATCTCCTCACATTCTTCCTCTATCTTTGGACAATGTTGAAGAGATAGTCTGAAGTGTTGAACTAATGGTGTGCTCACTACCTTAGCCTCCTTCATATTGAATTTGGTCAATACCTTCTCAATATACCCTTTTTGGGTCAATCACAAATTCTCATTATGCCTGTTTCTTTGAATTTCCATACCCAAGATTTTCTTTGCTCCACCTAAATCTTTTATCTCAAATTTTATGCTCAATTCCTGCTTTAACTTAGCAATATCATGCAAACTTTTACAAGCAATAAGCATGTCATCGACATAAAGCATCAATAATATAATGGAGTCACCATACGAAAATAAACACAACTGTCGTACTTACTTCCGATTTAGCCATGTGAAGTCATAAAAGTGTCAAAGCACTTGTACCATTGCCCTCAGTGCTTGCTTAAGGCCATAGAGCGACCTATTTAACTTACATATCAGTTGTTCTTTGCCTTTCTCGACAAACCCATCAGGCTGCACCATGTAAATTTCCTCTTCTAAGCTCCCGTGGAGAAAAGTTGTCTTCACATCAAGTTGCTCCAACTCCATATCCCACATAGCTACCATCGCCAACATGATTCTAATGGAACAGTGCTTCACTACAAGAAAAAGAAATCTCATTGAAGTCCATTCCTTCCTTTCATGCATATCCTTTCGCTACTAACATTGCCTTATACCTAACAAGTTCACTTGCAGATGAAGCCCCTTTCTTTCTATACACTCACTTGCACCCAATAGCTTTCTTGCCCTTAGGCAATTCTACTAACTTCCAAGTTTCATTCTTCCAAAGAGAAGTCATCTCCTCTTTCATAGCACCCATCCATAGTGAGTTGTCTTTATCTTTCATTGCCTCCTTGTAGATCATTGGATCATCATAATTAGTTGTTAATGCATATGCAACTGTATCACCAAATCTGATTGGTCTCTTGATGTTCCTTTTAGCCCTGCCTGCAGCAATGGAATATGGTGATTCCTCTTGGGATTGTGCAACTTCTTGGCTTTGATGAGAAGAATTTGTAGCGACTGGTTCACTACCCATTTTCTCTTCCTCACTTAGCTTCACCTGAATTATGGTACTGCTCTTCTCACCATCTCGGATTTGCTGCTGATTTTTCTTCAACATAGAAGGTTCATCAAATACAACATCTATGCTTATCTCAACCTTCTTGGTGTTAGGATTCCAAAATCTAAATCCTTTCACCCCTTCATTGTATCCTAAAAAAATGCAAGTTTTTGACTTAGCATCAAGCTTTGTCCTCTCTCTTTCCTGCAACAAGACATAACAAGGGCATCCAAAAATTCTCAAATTTGAGTAATCAACAGAATTATCAATCCATACCTCTTTTGTTGTCTTGAGTCCCAATTCTTTGGAAGGTGATCTGTTTGCCACATAATAGGCCATATGCCTCGGCCCAAAACTGCTTTGGTAAATCTGCAAAGATTCTCATGCACCTTGCCTTTTCTAGTAGTGTCCTATTCATTCTTTCTGCTACCCCGTTCTGTTGTGGTGTGCCTGTAGTAGTAAGATGTCAAGTAATTCCTTCTATTGCACAAAATTTTTCAAACTCTGTAGAGGTAAACTCTCCACCATTATCTGTCCATAGGTATTTTATCTGCTTTTCGATTTGCTTCTCCACTTTTGCCTTCCAAATCTTGAACTTCTCAAAAGCTTTAGATTTATGCTTCATGAAGTACACACAAACCTTTCTGAAATAATCATCAACAAAGCTAACAAATTATCGTGCTCCACCACGATATTTGCATGCACATACTCAAGAATCTCCTTGCTTCTGTTAGTAGATATTATAAAACTGACCTTACATTGCTTTCCAAAAATACAATATTTGCATAAATCTAATTTGCAAGATTTAACACCATCAAATAATTTTCTTTTGTATAGTTCTATCATGCCTCTCTTACTAATGTGTGCCAATCTCAAGTTCCATAATTGACTAGAATCATCATCTAAAGTGGATGTGACAGCTACATCCCCAATATTAGTTTTTCCAATTAACCTATATAACGATCCTTTTTTTCTCTCCTTTTACGACAACCATAGCACCCCTTTTAACTTTTATGACTCCATCAACCCCACTATATGTACACCCAAGATCATCTAAAGCACCAAGTGAGACTAAACTTTTTTTTAGATCTGGGACATGTCTAACATTTGTTAATATTCTAACAATCCCATCAAACATCTTGATTTTAATTGTCCCAATCCTAACAGTTTTACACTCGGCATTATTTTCCATAAGAATTGTGCCGCCAACATGTGATTCATATGTAGAAAACCAATCTCTATAAGGACACATATGATAAGAACATCTAGAATCAAGTATCCAAGTATCCAAGGGATCCATACTTGAAGAGACCGTAAGAATATCTCCATCATTCCCTGTATCGAAAGCAACGTTTACCTCGTCTATAGCTTTGCCTTTCTTCTTTTGGGCCTCTGCAAATTTCTTCAATCCTTTAACCAGTGACCATCTTTTTTTGCACCACTTTCCTTGTGTTTTCTTCAATTTGGATTTTGATCTACCTCTATTCTCATTGTGTCCCCTCTCTTTAGATCTACCATGTCCATAACCCAAATCCTTTGTAGTCAAACTTTCACTACCACTTAAAGTAGGCTTTTGCCGCACCTCGTTTGACAGCAAAGTACTTGTGACCTCATCCATCACCAACGTATCATTTCCATACAAGATGGTCGTCACCAAATGATCATACGATTCTAGGAGAGATGAGAGTAGAAGAACCGCCTTATCTTCTTCATCAATCTTCACATCTACATTGAGAAACTGTGCAGTCAACCAATTGAATGCATTCAAATGATCCAATAAATTGGTTCCGTCGACCATACGCAAACTATATAATTACCTCTTCAGGTACAACTTATTGGTATGAGATTTTGTCATATACAATTTCTCCAACTTTGTCCACAAGCCAATGGTGGTTTCCTCATCGAGTACGTTGCACATCACTTCATCTGCCAAGTATAACTAAATCATGCTCAATGCCTTCAAATCTAACTCAGCCCACTCATCACTTGTCATCTTCTCTGCCTTTTCCTTTCGAAGGAGAGCCTTGTGAAGACCTTGTTGTACCATAACCGCCTTCACCATCTTTTGCCACAACCCAAAATTCATCTTGCCGTCAAATTTCTCTACCTCGAACTTTATAGTTGACATCTTTGCCATCGTAAATACTTCATAGATTTAATAACCTAGCTCTAATACCACTTGTTGGTGTAGAAGCGTTGGATCACGTATCCTGAATCAACCCGTGAAGAAAAATTGAGAACATGCAAAATGGCAAAGTAAATAAAAATTCAAGCAAATAGAGATGAAGACACAAGAATTTATGTGGTTTGGAGAAAATCCTCCTACGTCCATGGGAAGATTATATATAGGGTCAAATCGGATCAGATCTTTTCGAAGTGAATCAAGGGGTGATTCGAATTTGATCCAAATTCCAAATGAATCCGATTCGCAATCCCATCCGATTTGAAAGTCTGAAGAGGGGGTATTCGAATCCGCTAATTTAGGATCAGATTACGAATCGAATTGGATCGGATCAGAATTTGATCCATTTGCATCCCTAATGGAAAGTGTGCAGTTGGGAGTTGTATCGGCCGATGCCGATGGCTTAACGATATGCCCCTCCAGGAGTTGTATCAAGTCAGACACTGATTCAAAGGGTGGTCGGGCCTTAAACCGACCCCTGAATCAGTTTCAAAAAAATTAAATAAATGAGACTTTAAAAAAATACTGATACAGGCTGATACACCCTATTGACATATCGGCCCATGTCAATATTTAGAACTTGTTTAGAGATGAGGATGAAAAGGTGCACTTTGCTCTTAAGAGGATTTAGAAGTCTACAAAGCGGAAGCATGAATAGCTGTTTTATAGAATAGGAAGATCACCCTTGAAGGACTCAAGCCTGATATTCTAAATAAGTCGCCTATAATCACATACAGAGAATACAAACAAATTACGGGCATCCTTGTCAATTTTACTCTTCATTTTAAAGTGTCTTGCGTACCAAACGGCATTTGACTTCTGCCATGCTTGGGGTAGGTGGGGTTGGGGTAACGGGCACCACGTGTGATTTGTAATTTCCACCATTAAAACTTAAAAGATATATATTGACACTTCACGATAATTTCCATGAAACCAAAGCCCAAAGGTCGAAGTCTATTCACAGTGTTTACAAGCATGTAAGGAGAACGTATATCAAGCGACCCACGTGGAAGATCAAGTGGGAATTGTCTCAGGGTCTTCTACATGGCCATCAGAAATTCTACAGCGTGTTAACTCAGGTAGGTAATAATAGAGACTGTCGATGATGGCCCAAGTTTGATATTTAGCACTGTAGGCTTTGCAGTGTCTGTTGTTTTGTTGTTTTTTATTAGTGTTGTAATTTGAATGCAGCATCTGCCTCGCTGCTTTTTACTGGACCTGGACGCTTTTGTTTTGTCTTCGAGTTCTTATTGAATTTTCTCTCTGCAATAAAAAACAGTTTTGGCCTGTGAAGGCCACAACCGGAATTCTGACTCAAATAAAAATGAACGATGTACACACATAGAATCAAAGAGATGAAAACATAGAAATCTGCTTAAATAATATATCCATAAAGAACTTACAGACATTGAATTCAAGTAGCTTTCAGCAAAAACCCACGAGGGTGAATGGAACAAAAAAAAGGAAATTGAGAATTGTCAGAAAAAGTTGAAGTCTTGCTCACACTACATCTCACTACATAGCTCTAATAATAGGAATCCAAAGTTGCTTAGAAGATGCGGTATGGCTTCCCCATGGTACTCTTGAGATACAAGCACCTCACCTGATTCGTCACAGAAACAATAATTATTTTCTATTCGAGCAGATAATGGTATATAGAAATCACGGTGTAATTGTAAATTGACAAATGAACATGCAGAAATTGAGGTATAAACTAACTAAATGAAAAATAAGCAGTTAATTTGAATAAACAAGCACCTGACGAATAAACTACCTTAACAAGTTGTTCATAAGAAAGTCGTTAGATTGTACTAGTAGATAAAATGTCATTTTGAAATAGTTGATTGACATTATTATCCTAAAATTTTCAATGAACAAAATCCTCAACGAGAAATTACTGAAACAACAAAACATAAAAACTTCAAGCACTGTAAGAATTATCTCAGATTAGTTTCCTTGAAAATCCTAATAGCTTTTTGTAGCAAGTTTTCCACATAAAAAAAGTCAGTGATCAGTGAGGAAGCAAATGAACTCACATTTTGCCAGTTCTTCTTCAACAACGATACAAGGAAGTTGACACTGAGTTGAACATTCTGGAATATCTGCTTCTCCTCCATTGAGCAGTTACCAACAGCAACTCCCATGCAAAGAACCTTCTTCAGTTGGAACTTCACCATGGCCTTGGTTTCGTTAACTTTTGACTCCAGACTTTCTTGATGAGTCACAAGTGTCGGGAACTTCCCTGCATTAGCAAAGGACATGAGACTCGTAACTATGAAAAAACTGTCATAAATCACATTCCATGCAGTTGACAACTAAGAAAATGCTCCTAGGTATTTAGCCTATCTTTTTTTTCTGATCAGTAGTTATTTAACATTTCTTAAAAAATACCACTGAATAGATGGTTCAAATCACACAGATGCTCTCACTAAAAGATGGACCTAGTGATCCAATGAACAGAATAAACAGATGTATAAACATATAATATGTCAAGGACAAATATGCAATGATTTAGAATGTGTTTTTTCTTCTTTTGTTGTCCATTTACTTTTCACTAGCGTATGCTGTTGGCCCCCAACAGCCAAAGTTATCCCCAATCCACCTACTCACATTGCATGTTTCAGCACAATGTAGAGACAATACCAGGAGTCGTCCCAATAATAGCCAGTAGTCCATGACATGGCAACAAACACTACAGCAGGGGCAATTGGGTAACTATACAAAATTACAAAGTAGGTATAATTACCAAGGCTTATCTGATTCCCATCCCTAGGTTGATCTTAGCCATGAAGGCATCAAAAAGCTGATCGTAGAGGATCTGCAATCCTGATCAGGTTTCAAGTCACCTTTTAGATGCACATTTAGGTGTTTAGTCGCATCCACAAAACCAAATAGGTTCAATGAACAATGGACCAACATCAATATGCTATAGGTGAGCTTACTGACCAATCACATATGATGGAGCCAATAAGACTTGTACATGATTGGCTAATTAGCCACCAACCCAAAAGATCATCAATCACAAAGGGAACTTTCTTTGGAACTCTTACTTGGGAGAGGGGGAATATCAAATCTATGGTACAGCTATTAAGTAGTGAATAGACAAGGAAAACACAAACTAGTTACTTAAAATGTAGCATATAAAGGAACCTACAAAAGCCACTACAGGAATCCAATTCTGCTTCTCATGCTTTTTTATTTTTTAATTTATACCTTTAGAAATAATCCCTATTGGATCAAAAAATGGCAAACACCAATCAAATAATTTCAATGTTGTCATTGTGCGGCTACTACTATTAAATAGCCTTACCAATAATAATGATCCATGAAAAAACTGTACTTGCCTGCTTTGTTGAGGCCAGGGCCAAGAAGACGAGGGATCTGCTTAATGATGGCTTCTGATGCAAGAAAAGCATGGTATCTCTTTGCAAGCTTCTTGACCAATTTCTTGTTTTTGTTTAGTTTCTTCAGCCCCTCCACATCCATATATTCTAAGCCTATTTTCTCTGCCTACAGTCCAAATAAAAAAAAATCATTCACAATAAATGCACAACACCATAAAATTATACCAACTTAAATATAAATGTTTGCCTTAAACAAAATGCATACTAATAATGAAACCTTTAAAAGCTCATAAACTATCACAAGTGAATCAAATTTCTTCCAATGATACTCAGGCACAAATACCAACACAGACATTGATACATAAAAGGGGATATACCAGATAATAATAAAAGCATGGAAATTCCGTTTGATGTTTATGTCATGCTTTTTTAACTAGTTTTTAGAGCAAAGTGTTATTTTTTCATATTTATATTTTTAAATTTTTCAAATTTAATTACAACTTAAAAATTTCTAAAACATACCATTCCATATATTTTGAAGGTGTTAATTTCATAAAGTACAACAGTATCCATGCAATATCCAGCTTTGCATCAAGTAGGCATTAACATGCCACATCCAACACCATACAGTAGGAATGTACAAGTACTCAGATTTTATATAATTCTCCCAGAATTTAAATTATAAAGGGGAGTATATCATACAAAGAAGCATGCAGAATTGTCAACAAGAGAAAGAATCTCAATAAGGTAATACTGTTTCCTGGTAATGTGAACCAAAAAATAGCATATTACACAACTAAGAGAAGCCATAGATTAAGTGCATTGCTGAAACTTTATCTTTGAGTTATTCTTGTTGCCTATTTCCCTTTCACATAAGCCATAAAAATAGTACGTACATGTCATACACCAGAGGTCCATCTAACAAATTATTTAATTATACATAACAGTTTTTCAAGGCATGTCAATATCCAAGCAAAAAACAAGAAAATACCCATGAAATAAAATATTCAAATAACCCTTAATTCTTAACCTTCTTTGTTCAGAACTCCATCAGACAAGAAAATAAAAAAACAGAAAAATATCATGAACAGTCTTCACTTTGCCCAACCTTACAAATTTTTATTTGCTTTCTGGTTTTATTTTCCAAAACCCCCCACCAATGAAACAGTATCCTCCCCCTTGTATTTTCTCGGATTTCCCAACCTGTCACTTTTCCTAATTGTACAAACAGACAAAACAATTATGAGGTGGGGAATATGAAAAATAACTACTGAATATCAGACTTCTCTGGAGATCCTTAGATCCACAGTATTGGGTGGGCATGCAATGCAAGCATAGAAACCAAAGTAATGGCATAAGTACTGGCACTTCACAAATTATAAGTTATAAAGGATAAAAACGATACAAGAATATCTTCAAACTATCCGACTAGAAATGAATCAAGCTGAAGAAAATTCAATCAAATTCAATTAAATAACCATTACAATGGAAGTTTGTCCAAGCAGAGAAAAATCACCTCTTCAACATGCTGTGCATCACCAAGCATGCAAATTTTCATCTTAGGACGAGGAATATGTGGTAACTTGACAGAACCACTAAAACGCTTGTCCTTCTGAGGATCATAATTCTTCAGGCCAATTTGGAGTTCAATGGTCTCAACAAAGTTTCGCTTCTTCTCCTTGGAATCTGACATGATGCCAGAGATGGCTTCTCTCAATGCATCACTCTGAAGCTTACTATAGAAGTTCAAAAAATAAAAATGCAACAAAGTTAGGCAATAGATATGTCTAACAGAACACCAAAATTCATCCATACTATATAAACAGAAGGAACAGCAATTGAATGGATTTCCTAGGATCTATATCAGCTTCACATAAATACAACAGTAGTAGACCTACTAACCATGGAAAGGAATTGTATAACATTGATAATACGCCATATTTCCCACTTAGGCTCAGCTTGGAAGGAGTACAAATACAAATATGTAGAGTGCAAAACCTTGTATTTTATATTATTCTCTATGTATTTGTACTGTACATATTTGTGTTTGTACTCTTTCCAAACTGAGCCTTAGTAAAATAACCAGACTTAGTTGTAAACCTCTGAAAGATAAGGAGCAAAATTGTAAAGAGAATAGACCAGAAAACAAACAACCTACATTAAATCATGCTAGCAGTCTAAGAACCTAACACACTGTCCTGAAGTAGCCGACTGAGTCATGTAATCCATACATTGTACATGGTTCGGTCAGTATGACTGTCAAAACCCCCATGAGTTGCTTTTGTTAAGAAGAATTATGCAAGGCAAATAAGTAAGAGGAAATAGAACAAAAAAATAAGAATTCAGCATTGGTTTTAAAAACACGGGCCAGAATCTCTCTAGATGTTAGAGCATAAAAAACTCGAGATTTTTTTATAACAGAAAAAAATGGCACCAATAAATTGAAACACTAAATGTTAACCCAAATCTAAACAGAATTTCTATTTCACACAGAGAACTAACTACTCCCGATTGAAAACTAAAAAAATATCTCTTTCACATTTAGATTTTACGTTGAGAAATAGCAAATAGGTAAAATAGAATCAGGAAAAAAAGAGAAATCCTTAAAACAATTACATCTCAAAGAATGAAACAACAAGCTTCCTGATTTTGAGAGGATACAAGGTATCATATGTTCCCAGAGGATAATAATGCTACTTTTCATCTAATTGCTACAGCCTCAATATCGGTCTGGCTTGGAGCCCTTGTTTCCAGGGATTCACTAGCTCTGGCTTTTCTTACGAAACTAAATTTCCAGATTTTGGGCCACGAGTTAACAAGTTTGAACAACCTTTGCTTTGATTCTCAATGTCAACGACAATAACATTATCGAATAAATAAAATCAAATGAATTCTCTTAGCAAATAACATCTATTATCAAATGAAAGAAGCAGAATACCTCATGGTTACTATTTACACTCCCTAGATTCCTGTAGAAAAAGACTCTCCCGACCTGAAAATCAAGTAAAGCTAGCCATCAATAACATCAAAGGCTCCCAAAGCAAATACAGATCCGATTCTCTGATCAGAAACCAAAAAACAAGCAATCTTCTAAACAAGGAAAAAAAATAAAAAAAACATATATCTTGAAAGAGCAGTTTACTAATGGAGGAATCGCACTCACCCTAAAACTAAGCGGCGAAATTGAAAACCCAAAACTAGGGTTTGTTACTGGCCGAGCTTTATAGCAAGAGCAGAAAGTCGGGAACTGTTACTCATCTCTCGCTACCTCTGGGAGTCAGGAGTCTATAAACCCTAGCCACGTGCTAATCACACGAGTTCTTAAACCGATGGCTTACGGTTCGAGTCACACCGTTTATATTGCTGGTCCGGTTCATTCCGGTCTAAGCAAGAAAATATGAGGGGTCATCATCCTGACCACTTCATAAGTTATACAAGCCATGGTTTAGATACACACGAAAATAATTTTTTTTTGTTTTTTTTTCAAAATTTGGTTTTTGGGAATTAATTCGGGACCCAAAAGATACGATACGATACGATACATCCAATACAGTGCGTATCGTATTGATTTTTTTGAACCTTGATACAAGCCGGAGCAATTGGACTTAATGGGCTTTGATCAAAACAAATTATTAAAAGTAGGGGTGGCAAATGGATGGATTGGGTTGGGTTGGGTTGGGTTGGGTAAGGGTTAAATACCAATTCACCCATATTGAGTATTGACCCACCAACCCACCATGACCCATCATCAATCTTTGTTAAAAGGTCATAACCCACCCTAACCCTTGACCCACTTGATCCATCCATATTGACCCTTAACCACCCTCTCCCATACTGACCCACCTACCCTCACCTATAAATACAAAAATGGGTCGAGACGGCCCGTATACCCGAAATAATAAATTTTAAGAGGAATATCTCTCTCAAGGTTGTCACGTGGTAGAAACGGGTCAGGTTGACCTATATACCGAAAATAACAAAATTTTGAGAGGAACATCTCTCAAGACTACCACGTGGCAAAAATGGGACAGGGTGAACCCCTATACTCGAAAATAACAATTTTTGAGAAAATAATCTCTCTCAAGGATGCCACATGAAAGAACTAGGTCAGGTTGACACATATACCCAGAAAARAAAAAAAAAAAAAAAAAAAAAAAAAAAAAAAAAASATTKTGAGAAAATCATCTCTCTTAAGACTGCCAAGTAAGAGAAACGAGTTGGGTTGACCTGTATATCCGAAAAAACATTTTTGAGAGAATCATCTCTCTCAAGACTACCATGTGACAAAAAACGGGTCAGGTCAACTCATATACTCAAAAATGCAAAAATTGTAGATAAATGCAAAAAATACCAAAAAATGCAAAAAAAAACTAGAAATTTGCAAAAAATGCAGAACTTTTGCAAAAACAATCAGAAAAAATGAAAAAAAAAACTAGAAAATTGTAAGAAATGCATGAAAACACAAGAAAATGCAGAAATTATGCAGAAAAGCACAAAAAATTGTAAAAAATGCAGAAATTACCAGAAAAGTACAAAAAATGCAAAAAAACCAAAAAATTATAGAAAATGCAGAAATCACAGAAAATGCAAAAAAAAATGCTCTTTTATAAAGTACTTCCGTAAAAGTGTTTTCGTAAAAGTATTTTTGTAAAAATGCTTTATGCTTACATAAATTTACTTTTATGCTTTCATAAAAGTGCTTTCATGTAAAAATACTTTCACAAATGTGCTTTTATGCTTTCATAAAAGTGCTTTCGTAAAAGTATTTTCATAAAGTGCTTTCATGTAAAAGTGCTTTTGTAAAGGTACTTTCATAAAAGTACTTCTTACAAAAGCAATTTTATAAAAGTACTTCTATAATATTGCTTTCATGTAAAAGTACTTTTATAAAAGTGCGTTCGTGTAAAAGTACTTTTGAAAAGTGCTTTCATGTAAAAGTACTTTTGTAAAAGTGCTTTTCATAAAATTGCTTTTGTAAAAGTGTTTTTGTGTAAATTTGCATTTGAACATGAAAGTTAATAAAATCTATTTTACTTCATTTGTAATCATAAAATGAGATGTGACATGGTGGTTTGGATTTGTAATGAGGTGTGTGTGCGCTAAGAGATTTGAGTTTGAGTCACCTTAATATCTGTAATTTTGAGATTTGGCAAATATAATCCCAACCCATCCTAACCCGTGCGACCCAACCCACCATGATCATTTTCCATTGACCTTAATGGGTTACTCGACTTATATTGACTTGCCAATAGAATGGGTGGGTCAAATGGGTTGGGTCAAGATTGCCAGTCCTAATTAAAAAGTATTGCAAACAAATCAAATCAGAATTCGGATAGGGTCCTACAAATCTAGGATATCTGAAGTTGATTCCAATTTTGTCAATTAACAACCGGCTCACAGCTCTACAACAATGATGCCTTCTTGGTGAATTGGCCAACGAGATTACATCAATGCCTCACATGTACATCTTAGCATGCATTGGGAACATTTCCGGTACTTGTCATTAGGAGATGTTTTCAGTACATAGTTAGGATGTACTGTGGGGTGCCACCTATAGGGTGCGGATGTGAACTCGTGGCCAACATGTCAAGGAAAATCCTTCTCTAATCCGTATATAAGGTAAATGGTCAAGGAGCTTGAGTGGCATTGAAGAGGGTTTGGGAGTTGGGTAAAAACCCCTCCTCACTTTAATGGTTAAGGAGCTTGAGTGGCATTTCTTCTACAGGAACAATGTACAACACTTCTTCTATTCTATATTTATTTCAATGTAAAAGTCTCATAGGAAAAGAAATTATCTTCATTATTCTATGTTTTTGAAAAAAAAAATCTTCATTATTCTATGACGATCAATAAAATCCAATTAAGGTTCATAAAATTTCATGGGAGAAAAGAAAAAAAAAACAAAAAAAAAGGTCTTTTCAAGGTTGGGTGTCCAAAATCATAGTCATCATAAAGAGAAAGTAAATTGATCAGGAATTGTTGAGAGTAGACAGAGAACCATGTTGGTTTTGGGATGTAGTCATTTGCTAATAGAGGTGATCGCAAGGAATCAAACTGGGGATATTGAACTACAAGGGGAGCTGAATTTGTAGGGGATTGCAGTGATTCCTGAAGAAAACAAGATTAGAGGAGGGGTGTGGTCGATGGAATGAGTATTTTCTTGATTTGTTAGTACTAAAGAAGGCGACGCAAAGGCTACAACAGATCTAAAGAGACTGTCTGGGATATGTCTACTTGGAATGAATGCACCTTGGTAAGAGGAAATGAATCTCTCTATAGGAGAGGCCTTAGCTTGTTGGTTATGATATTTGCCATAATTTTGCATGTTATATTAGCTAAACAACTTGATTGAGAAAAAATTATTAGCCACCTTAGCTTTCTCTTTCTTCAGGATGAGCACAATATGAGTGTCATTTACAAAAGCGATGAACAAGGGATTTAAAAGAAAGCTTCAAATGAAAGTACAGACCTCCTCACCCGCAACATTCCAACAAAGCTCCAATCTCCATTGGCATCTCTTAGCAAATGAATACCATTCTATAGTCTACCATTTGTCGTAAAAATATGAAAGTAATGGCTGATTCTATCTTTACGAGTCAGCCCCATACATTTGGAGCATTGTCTAGTAGAGTTCTTCTCTATCATACCACTCTTCAAGCTATGCTCTAAGCCTACTTTCTTCTACAATAGTAGAATCATTCATGAAATTACATTGGATCTCCTCAATGCACTTCATTAATTCTTTTATTTTTGTAGTGAATTGAAACTTTGATTAAAATCATGCCCATAATTCATTTTTTACTACTAGTGCACGTCAAGAAAATTGCTATTATTAGCATTCAAAACTCTTTAAAGAGCATCAATATGGTCATGACGACTCATGACATGTCTAGATAGCCTCAAATCTCTTGATCAGTTGATACCTCCTTTGAAAATTAATCAAATTACACAAGAACGAGTTATGGTCACTGCCTATGACATGAATATGTTTTACTATTGCCTAAATGAACTAGTTGAACTGAGATGTGATAGAGGGGGATTTGGCCCGACCCCTTGGCCGCGCGACACGTGGAGGCAACTGGGTATGACCTGGCAGGGGCATCAACTCAGCACAACAACATAGCCATAGCCCAAGAAGAGGCCCGAGCTCCCCAAGGAGAGGCCCCGAGCTCCCCAAAGAGAACCCATGCTTCCCAAGAGGTAGAACCCGAGCTTTCCTTAGAAATCCTGAGCTCTACAAGGAACACCACGAAAGGCAAAGCCCGAACTGACCTACCACAGGTAAGTTCAGGCCACGCTCCTGTCCGACTCAAGACTTCACCTCGTGCACCACTCTAGCACTTCGGCTCCAGGTCGCGTGACTGAACGACCGTACTTGACACCAAAGAAGTTCGTACTCTTAGGCGGTGTGCCTGACTGATCAGGGATCTGACACATGATAGCCGCACTCCAACGGCCACCTGCTACCACCATCTCAGTCGTTGCAGAGACGGCTTCGACAGAGAAGACAGTGGCGGTTATGTCTACCCCCGCAGAGGTGGTTACACCTGACCTAGAAGAGGCTTGGGAGTGAGTGCACCAGGGCAGTTATAAAAGGCCCTATTCCCACAGACGGCGCCAAATGATGATGCGCGATCCGGTCGGTTACAGTACCTGTGGAAGTCAGCACGTGGCCTAGCACAGTGAGGCTCAAACACGACTTCTTGGTGGTTGCGACCCCCTCCCCATACAATGCCATAGTAGGTCGGCCGATCACCCATGCTTTAAGGGCTGTGGTGTCCACCTACTATTTGGCCATGAAGTTCCCTATGGACTTCGACATCGGGGTAGTGTGGGGCGACCAGCTCGAGTCCCGCAAATGCTATGTCGCCACCCTCAAGGGAAAAGCCAAGGTCACCAGCGACCTCGAGCTAGAGCGACCCGTGGAACAAAATGAGGAGCGAGCTGCACCCATGGAAGAGACCGCTCTCATCCCTGTCTCGATAGAGGACCCAGCTCGAGCACTTCAGATCGGCGCTTCCCTGAAGGAGCCCTTGCGATCCGAACTGGTACGCTTCTTACTCAATAATTTAGATGTTTTTGCTTGGTCCACGGTAGAAATGCCCGGCATAGACCCTTACCTCATAACTCACAAACTCAATACTGACCCTGTAGTTAGGCCCATTAGACAGAAGAAATGCAACCTAGCCCTAGAGCGATGGAGGGCAGTCGATGAGGAGATCAGGAAGCTCCTCACAACAAACTTCATAAGGGAAGTTCATTACTCGA